TGGGTTGATCAACTTCTACAGACGGTTTATCCCCAATTGTGCAGACACCGTTCAACCTCTCACTGACATGCTCAAGAACTGTAAGAAGAAAAACCAGCCCATCGAGTTGGACGAGCGTGCCCGGTCAGCATTCGAGCGCGTCAAGGCAAAATTAGCAGATGCAACGCTGTTGGTCCACCCAAAGGCTGAGGCACCATTGTGCCTTCTCACCGATGCATCAGATGTGGGAGTCGGGGGTGTTCTACAACAATGTGTAGATGGAACATGGCAACCTCTCTCCTTCTTCTCGAAGCGTCTCCAACCGGCCGAAACACGCTATAGTACATTTGGCAGAGAACTCCTCGCAATTTACCTCAGCGTGAAATACTTCCGTCATATGCTCGAAGGTCGCTCGTTCTGCATTTACACAGATCACAAACCACTCACCTACGCTATGCATTCCAAGCCAGATCGCCATTCACCACGTGAAGTTCGTCATCTTGATTACATCTCACAGTTTACGTCTGACATCCGTCACATCAGTGGGAAATCTAACACGGCAGCAGATGCACTTTCACGCATGGCACTAATCGATGCTTTGGAGGTTTCCGATGTCATCGATTTTGAGGCCATAGCCGCTGCCCAACAGACCGATGCGGAATTACTCAACCTGACCAACACTTCGTTACGACTCATCACAGTGCCTCTCCCCACATCGCCTGGCACCATCATCTGTGACACGACTACGGACAATCCTAGGCCTTATGTTCCTCACAAGTTCCGACGGCCCATTTTCAATGCATTACATGGCTTGTCTCACCCTGGTATCAGAGCGACGCAGCACTTAGTCTCTGCACGTTTTGTGTGGCCCGGTATCAACAAAGACGTCAGGACCTGGGCTAAAAGGTGTCACCAGTGTCAACGTTGCAAGATTCATAGACACACCAAATCACCTTTGGGAACATTTTCCACGCCCGACGCTAGGTTTGCCCATGTCCACATTGACCTCGTTGGCCCGCTTCCGCCTTCCAATGGACAGTCATACTTGCTAACTTGCGTTGACCGCTTCACCCGATGGCCGGAGGCCATACCCATCCCTGACATCACGGCAGAGACGGTTGCTCGAGCTTTCATCACCCATTGGGTGGCCCGTTTCGGTGCACCTTCCACCATCACTACCGACAGGGGACGACAATTTGAGTCCTCACTTTTCCGAGCTCTCACAGACATGCTCGGCTGCACGCGAATCCGCACGACATCCTATCACCCTTCCGCGAATGGACTCGTAGAACGCCTACATAGACAGTTGAAGGCATCCCTCAAAGCTCACACTAATCCGAAGTGGACCGAATCCCTTCCGTTTGTGTTGCTTGGTGTCAGGACCGCTGTTAAATCAACTCTCGGTTGCTCCTCTGCAGAGATGGTTCTCGGTACTACACTCCGATTGCCCGGTGAATTTGTTGCACCTAGTCCCACAGATGGGGATCTGGACCCCAGTGACTACATCCATCGTCTTAGACGACACATGCAAACCATTCACCCTCCGCCACCTCGGTCCCAGCAGAGCAACTCTCAGGTGCACCCTGATCTCCTCACGTGCACGCATGTATACGTTCGACACGACGCAGTGAGAACGCCACTTCAGCCCCCCTATGATGGCCCGTTTCTGGTACTCAAACGGACGAACAAGTTTTTCGTTTTGGACAGGAAGGGTAAGCACGACACCGTCAGCATTGACCGTCTCAAAGTCGCATACCTTGAGGATGCCATACCCGTCGGCCTCAGGGCACCTGCGATCCCACAGAAACTTCCTCCTGCCATGCCCCCTCCTCGACCCACGCCGCCTCCTCCAGTTCCAGAGGTCAAGACCACTAGATCTGGACGCCATGTACATTGGCCTGCTCGTTATGTCCAGTTTTGCACTTCAGGCACTTGAAACATTTTGATTTGGTCGTTTGTATCGATCGTTTCTTATCTGCTCCGATCTAGGGGGGAGCTACTGTAGTGACTGCCCCTTTAACCATTACGCGGCTTAATGTAAATAACAACATTGGCGTCACATGTAAAGAACTCGCCAATCAACGCCAGCGAACATCTTTGACTGGTACCCTGTATTGTACATACATGTATATATTCGCTGGTGCGTCCACATGTGCTCTGTGTGGGTTTTTCCATGTGTTCTGTCGTTGGTGAAAAGTTACGAGTTATCGCGTTTTGACATTTTTGAGCACCAATCTTCAGCAGTATTTTATCAGCGTTTATCATCGTCTTCGTGTGTTTTTCGTCAAGTCAGTAATCGTCTGTTTGTGTCCTGAACAATCCTCGTGGATAAAAACTCTATACGAACAGTGGTTCGTGCATCCGCGCCAGGAGAAATATCGCGATCGACAGAGTCAATATTCGTCCCGCGGCGAGAAGACCGAGCGTGTGGACTCGTGCCCAATTCTCGGACAAATCTCTTGGTGAGTTGACAACAGCTTTCGTACTGAGTATAACCAAAAATACCCTACAAGCTGATTGTAGTTACGTGATGTCACACACTGAACAAATAATAGTACACTGTAACCGCACGCACATGTGCGTCATGTCAACACTTGCACTCATTCAAGAATTTGCCCAACTACAAACAGAAACTTCCAAACATGTGTCACTTGACACAACTTAGGAAACAACCTTCTTTTATTAGGGGAAACGGCCTCCAGATATGGAGGTTAGCTGTGAATTAAATGAGCAGTCCCTGAGCAACTGGTGGTCTACTCTAGAGGGTGTGCATGGGTAGGGCATCTGGTCACACCTACCGGTACATGTACCCCTAGAAAAGCGTACAATGCCTGTTGTAAAAGGGTACACCATAGAAACCAACTGACCAGGTTTGGTGAGAAACGTCGCCTTGGGTGGCAACTCACCTAGTGTCGATCACAAACAAAAGTTGGCAGACTCTAACATCGTTGAAAGCAAGTTCATATCTTTTTTCACTTTCAAATTATTTGGCACTTCCGGTTTCGACCGGAAGGAAGGGTCACGTGATTTGACGCACACAAGATAAAATGAAGATCATATATTATCATGTCGATTCCCGCAAAATTCAAGTTCCGGTCTCTCACGGTTGATTTTATATTGAATTTCAAAGATTAAATTTATTATTTTTTGAAGTGACGTCATGTGACCTATGATGACGTAATTGCAAAAAAGCACATCTTCAGTTGGTTGTGCATTCATGTATTGACAATTGAAGTTCATATATGTTTTCATGTTAACAAACAGTTCTGGAGAAGAAATGTGTCTTGAAGAATAAAAAGAATAATAGTAAATTCTTACAATAACAATAGGTGTTGGGCTGAGGCCCAACACCTAAAAACACGTCGCCGCATCAATTCCGGAACTTCGGTCTGACCAGAGACCGACTATTTTTTTGGGGGGGGGGGGGGGGCCTTACCAAGCATATTTTTTATCACGCCATTTTACCCGGCAGTGATTTACGAAAACCACCACCATTTATAAACAGCAAAGACTTATAATATATTTAGTGTACCATTACTTTTTATTTGCCAACTTCAGAGAGTTTTTCCACTGAACGCTCAGTTTGGAAAAGGCAGGATGCGCAAGTGTCTGTCTGTTACCATGGCAACACATAAGTTTACCGGACCCCAACAAAGACAAAATTTGGAAAGAAAAACTGCAGGTTATAGGGGCACTTGCAATAAATAAAAATGAGTTTTGAGTTCTGAGTTTTGGTCCTAACTTACTACAGTAACCTTACAGAAGGGATACATTGTGAAAACCCCTCCCAAAATGTCAGTCTGTTACCCATGGAATCATTACACGTATGTTAGGAAGGGCATCCAGCCGTAAAATGTTCTGCCTCAAACTGTTTTAGTATATGATCATGTTGTATTTTGGTACCCAGAATAATAGCACTGGAACCTCTCGTGAAGGTGTCGTTCTCGGTATGGAGTAGGGTTGCTGTGGGCCCAGCCAGTCCATAATCTGACGACCACAGCAAATGTGTAAACTTCATATCTCCTCTTTGAATGTTGTTATTCTGCGTGGCAGGGCAAATGAAGTAGTTGAGACTTTGACTCGGAGACATATTGATATACAATGCATGTTGTGTTCAGGAAACACGATGGAGGGGTTGTTCTGCTAGAATGATCTCTGGAAAAGACTGCCCATATAAACTCTTGTGGAATGGTGATAGCTCCGGATTCGGAGGTGTCGGTGTGCCACTGGCTGGAAAAAAGATTGACAAAATAGTTTCTGTGATTAGAGTTGACCACCGCCTCATGTGCCAACGTGTATTGATTGATAAATTGATTGTCAACATCTTCTGTACATACGCCCTACCATCCGATCACCCAGAGGAAGAAAATGATCTGTCCTTCTCAAAGCTGCTCAGCAACGTCATCAAAGTTCCAACCGAAGAATATCTGGTTGTACAGTAAACTCCGGCTAAGTCGGCACTCTGGGACCCGAGAATTTGTGACGACTTACGCGAATACCGATATCTGCTGTACGTCGTCATTTTGCCGGCTTACATGAATGGTCTTTTGCACACATGATTCATTGCACTATTGACTTCGATTTACCCTGGATTGTCTCCTTAATGCTTGAGTTTAAACCAGCAAATTAATCCTTGCATGAATTGTATCATCGCGTCTGGGGTAGTGATAGTGGAGACCACGATACATACGTGCACAGTAACAAATTAAATGCGTGCATGGTCCGGTATATACCACGCACGCATTTAGCACTGGTCATTCAATAAGATGACCCCCAAAATGGATAGAGCGCATGCCTATAGCCTAGAGGGGGTACTGGTATTGATATGCTCACGATGCATATGCAGCGATCACGGGCCACTTCCTGTACTGCCAACCGCAGTACAGGAAGTCGATGCCAATGCATGATTTGTTGAATGCCGACTTAAACAAAGGATTTTGTAATGCTTTTTATGGAAAGGGGACCGAGAGTAACACGACGACATGAGCGAAATGGCGACTTATAAAGGCCGACTTAGAAATAAAAAATTCAATGGAAATGCATTACGGACAATTGAGACTTTAGTCAGACGGCCGACTTGAGCGATTCAATGAGCTGTACGATGTCGGCTTAGCCAGAGTTTACTGTATGTGGTGACCTGAATTGGCAAGTTGGACAAGCTTCTGCAGGTTTCGACGGTCATCATGGTGGCCACAGGTTTGGCGAACGGAATGCTGAGGGTGTTAGAATGCTGGACTTGTGCACACCTGTCGATCTTGCTGTATCTAACACCTTCACGAAACAAGATAAACAACTTGTCAAATACTGTTCTAGCACTGTGGGTACCCAAGTTGATTACATTCTTGTCAGGCGCTGTGAATTGAAGCTGGTCCGGGATGTAATGGCCATTGGTGGTGAAGAATGCACAAGTCAACACAAGCTTCTGGTGTCAGACCTTGTCTTGCAAACCCATACACAGAAGCCACGTTCTATCCCTCCAAAGAGACAGAATCCCTCCAAAGATTTGGAAACTGCACAAGTCTGACATCCGTGAGGAATATGAAAGAACAGTCAAGGAGTCCTTTGGTACTCTTACGTTGATATCGATTCTGCCCGGAATGACATCAGATCATGTTTGCTGAATGCTTGCAATGCTGTCTGTGGCTGGACCAAAGGTGGTCATCAACGGCAAAAGGTGGATAAGGTAGTTAAACAGAAAAGGAAACTGTGGAAAGATTGGCAAAAAGGTGGTGATAAGGAAAAGTACTTGGAAGCACAGAGAAGGGCAAAGTCTGTCGTGTACAAGACAAACAATACCAGCTAAGGAAGAGAGATTTTAGTAATCTGGAAAGTAAAACAAAGGGAGGAATTTCGTCTTTAAGCTTGCTCACAAAATGAAGTTTGAGAACCAGGATATCGTTGGTGACATATGTATCAAAGACACCCATGCAAAACTGGTTTTTGATGAGAAAGCAAAGCTGAGGAAAGTGGCAGAGGAAGAATCAGGACAATTTAGGCCATGTATGAGAATTCCAAGTCCAGCATACACCTGAATGACCTGTTTAGATCCGAGTTCAGTGTGAAGGTGGGTGTGCATCATGGGACCATGCTCAGTCCTCCGCTCTTCATAATAGTCCTGGAGGTACTGTCACAAGAGTTCCGAACTGGTTGCCCCTGGGAACTGCTGTATGCTGACGATCTGGTGATAACAGCAGAGTCTATCAAGGAGCTCAAACAAAATATCTCTGTCTGGACATCAAATCATAATCAAAGGGTCTTCGTGTCAACATGTCCAAAACAAAGATCCTCTGCAGTAGGCATGGTGTCCAACCTAAAGCTGACCCTGCTAGGCAGCCATTTGCCATCTGCAAGAAAGGAGTTGGCAGTAACTCAATCTTCTGCTCCAGTTGTAACCTTTGGGTTCACAAGCGCTGCTCTGGCATCCGTGGCAGGCTAAAACAAGATCCAACCTTCAAGTGTAAGGTGTGTTCTGATAATGCCGACCCTCAGACACCTGGCATTGCTAATCTAGTTGTGGGTAATGACACTCTTCAGGTGGTGGATTGATTGTTATTTTGGAAATGTCATAAGTCAGTCAGGTGGTTGCTTTGACGCTACAACTGCAAGGGTATGCTCGGCCTGGAAGCACTTTCACAATTTGCTACCAGCTCTGACTAACAAAGGGATCTCCCCACATGTGAGGGATTATGTCTATAATGCCTGTGTGCGTAGTGTTCTCCTGTATGCAAGTGAAACCTGGCCAGTAACTGCCAACGACATCTACTGCCTTACCCACAAAGATAACGCCATGACCAGACCGAATTGTTCAGCAAAGCTGTCAGACAGGAAATTCATGGCTGAGCAAAGGCGCCAAGTTAGTCTGTCTGCTGTTGACGAGGTGGTTCGTTGAGGACGCCTTCGCTGGTTTGGTCACCTGCAGCATATACGAGGACAACTGGCCAAGGAAGATTCTCAACTACCAGATCCCTGGCATCTTACCCACATGCGACAATATCAATAATGACCTGAGGTGCCTGCAGATCGATGCCAGTCTGGCATTGTACCGAGTGGAGTGGAGGAAAGCTATCCAACAGAGGACATGATCATCATGGAGTCCAACCTTCAAGTTCGGGGACAGACGGACTATTAACGGCTGGCTGGAGGGATGGATTAATTTTGTCAAAATGACAGCATGCAAGAAATTCACAGTAATTTACTTTCATTACTATGTTTAAACTAAGATTTTTAACAATAATTTGGTCAATTACTGTTTGGATAGATGCAAATAGTCCACTCTACATGTACCTTTAAGGTTATCAACCAAAATGCACTAATTTGTTTCAAAACTGAATTAGAATATTACTTACTTTTGTATTTTTACAGAAAAAAAGGCAGACAGCCAACTAATTAATTGTTTAGTTTTTCATGCCAAAGTGCAGAATCAACGTGCAACTTTACAGCTTATTGGTGGTGGATAGATGGATACATTTTGATATTTAAATATTCACATACATTGGGCAAAGCTACAGTGTATGAGCAAAGGAAACATTTTAACCATTATACTGAGACACAAATACCCCACTTTTATTTTCTGTTTGATTTTACCTGTTGATATGATGGGGGTGGTGGTGTTTTCCAGGAATTGCTTATATTGTGTGGGTATACTGTATTCCTTTCACTTTCAGACTCCCCTACAAAAGTAAATCCATCCTCCTCCCGGTCCTCCTCTACCATGCCATTTGAAACTCGCTCACTCTGCTTTACGGGTGTTGACTTCTTCCTCCAAAGTGGAAGCTGTGAAAGTGGTGTAGTAATGGCCTATTGAGGAAATCAAAAAAATACATTACATTAATTGAAACATGTATTAGCCCCCCCCCCCCCCAATAGTTCTGCTTCTGGTTTCCCTACCAGTACCTACCCTATTCTGACAGCCCCTACCCTAATTTTTTTTAGGGAAAAACAACCTACCCAAACCCATCAATTTCTACCTTTTACCCTTGACTGCACGCATACACCTCCATATGACCATACACAAAAACAAATTGGCCAAACAAAAAAAACAATCCCTACCTACATGTACCTACCCTATTTTTGAATGCCATGTAACCAGAAGCAGAACTATTTTTTTTTTTGGCCTTTAACATAAACTACCGGTGTGCTGCATAATTTGCAAAGAATGGCATTTTTTTTTTGCTATTATTATTCATTATTATTAAGGGGATCAAGACATGATCGACAGAATGATCGAGAGCCGAATTTTCACTGGTTCATTCACCATCATGTGCCAGATGCTATTTTTGCTGTTTATCAAGCGCGCGCGCGAGTATTCACGCACAGGGTAAATACGCATGCGTAGTAGACTGTCGCATGGTTACCCGTGCAAGAGTCTACTTTGCATGTGCTTTACGAAGCAATCGTGGAACTGTCGCACGGGTGTAGTACGCATGCGGGAACATCGCCTTGCCCCTTGCAACTCATGAAAAGATGGTTGCACACAAAAATGTTAATGAGCATTTTCCTGAGCTCAATGATGCCAAATTGGAGAATATTGTGGACAATAAAGATGCCTCATGTACTCAAAAAAAGTTATCCACAACAACTGTATATACTTTACTGTTTTGTAAAGAACTGAACTTTTCTGAGGTTGAGCAATAATATTCTTCTGGTGAGCTGGACAAGTTTCTCCAAAGATTTGATGCCTTCGAGGTGCATAATATCGACTGTCAAACCATGTCATATTTGTATTCTAGTCAGCTAGTCGCCTTATAGGCAATTCTGAGCCTATTTACAGATCTGCACCACTGATGTCCCCCACCCAATGGTTATTGTCACCAAGTTTGGTTGAGATTGAAGTCAGACTTTTCATATCACAGCAATAAACAGTTAACCTAACCAAAATGGAACACACAGACAGACAGACTGAATACGCTATCGCCATTTTCCCCTTTATAGCTATAAAGGGGCAAATTGTGATAGCGTATTCTGTCTGTCTGTCTATGTGTACACGTCCGTGAGTTCCATTTTGGTATAGTAAAAGCCAAGGGGATAAAAAGAATCATTGTAACTTCTTGACAAATTCTAACATACTGAGTATCTCTATCTGTGTCCGAAACTGGCTTCAAGATAATGCATGCTAATGCCCATGCACGCAAGTTTTGTGAAAAGTAAGTAGCTCAATGTACTTTACCGAGTGTCGTAGTTAGTAAGGCAAAGTAAAAAAAAAAACAAGTTTCTCGTCCCCGCCCGCTTCCTTTTTGGAGGCCGCCTGGATTTTTTTATTATTTTTTATTTTTGAAAAATGCAGTAAAAACACTGAAAAAGTCCACAAATTCATCGGAAAATAAATACTTGCGAAATATGTGAGTCGAAGTTTTCAGTATAGACTCTGTCGGTCACTTTTGTATACCACATAATATCGACGTGTTATCGCTACCCCTGCGGCAGTGCAAGCATGGCGAGTTCACAACAACTCACCCACTTGATTCCCAGACCAAAAGATTCTGACTATTCCTGATGAATCTACGCGCCCATGGAGTCGAGGCTGAGACGTGAGCGTCAGGAATAATTGTCAGGTCTAGGGAACCAGAGTACCAGACTACGTACATGATGTATGTCTATTGATAGTTTTAGACTACAGTCGTTTGAAAATTCAACCGGAATCTGTCTGCCGTACTGTATGCGGTAAATGCCGACTTCAAAGCCAGAATGCAGCCGGTATGAGACTAGCTCACGCTGGAGCATGTGTTTAAAGAATTCGCTTGCGACTTTTGGCGGTTAAAGAAAATGCATCTAAAACTGTTCTTGGTAGACCAATACAACTCTAAAGGACACTGTAAATATGTTGGTTCTCTTGTCCAACTTGTCTTTCATTTTAAAAGTGTCTTTGAACAGTGGAAACACCAACGGTTGCAGGAAATTTTAAAATGGTGGCCATCTTGAAAAAAATAAAAAATAAAAAATAAAAAGCCCCTCTTCCTCCTATTTTTCAAAAACCCGGACGAGAAACTTTTTTTTTTTTTACTCGGCCTAATCAAAACCAAACCGGTATACAACCGGTGTTGTACACAATGCCACGTTCACGGGTCTACCCCCATACCAATATTACCATGACCACTGATGGCTGAGCCTTAAAGCTGGAAATTTCAAGCTACATGTAGGCTACTGTATGTGTATGTATATAGGCTACTTACCCTAGCCTAAATGGAACTTACATTTATGATGCTCATCTCGCTTAAATTTATAGTATCACTCAGGCAGCACTCATCTAGGATTGGAGAAGAGGTGTAGGCGTATGGGCTTACTTAACATTTGCTTAAGCAAGTTGTATACAGAGTAAGTTCAAAATTGTTTCAACTCGATGATGCAACTGTATCCATGCAGAGACATACAGCCATGACATCAGCGGATCTGCTTTGCAACAACTGATCATTCATGTTTACCGGACCACTCATTGTTCAGCATTCACTCAAATACACTTGTCGACTAGTCTATTGCCAACAATCAACATCACAACAAAAATTTCGCTGATTATGTGATGTCTCGAGTAATGTCACTAAATTGCCACTAATCATTAGTTCAGTTCAGCGCTAGTTCAGTTCAGCACTAGTTTGGAAGCTAGTTTACTATTAGGCCTACTGGCAATAGGGGGAATACTACATTATGTTTGTCGTTGAAACCAACAGACTGAGTTGAAACGTCATTTCTAAGCTAGTCATTAAGTCGAGTCACGTAAAAGGCAGGTGATTCCTGACGCATGAAGCGGAGGTCAGCTGATCAGCGGCGCGGAGGTAAACTTGTACAAGGTAGGGTGACCGTAAGGTAATGGCAAAATTCTGCTAGATGCGCTTAAAAAATCTGCTAAATCACCTATTATTACACGAAATACATTATAAACACTTATACTCACATGCAGATGTTATAAAATTTCCTTTAACAAAAACAAAAAACAAAAATTATAAAATCTAATTTCAAGAAAATTAAATTTAAAAATGTGCACGTGTCTAGCCTGGCTTGCAATGGTCTTCGCTCGTACCCCCCGCCCTGGGGTGCATTTAAAGGGAATGTACAACATTTGCTTTTGCTGCAATTTTCAGAAATAAATGGATTTGGAGGATAAGTATGTTATAGAAAATATTGTTTAACTGACTTGTTTCACGTTTTGGGCTTGTAGATGCTGGAAAAACCAAGAAAACCAACCATGTTCTTGTAGTCTGGTTCCCTGACCCGACCCACTTAAGATGAAACGGAGAAAATTGGGGAATTGCAAGGTCACAGAATCAGTCTAGCACTGGCTTGTACCCTTTCACAGGTGTATAATCAATTGAAAAGAAAAGTCAGAATAACTAAATATAAAAAATAAGGAATAGTTTTTGAAAAAAGCCAGTTTTCTCCAACGCTGGTCGGCCGACCATCGTTGGAAAAAAAAAAGTTTTTCTTGAAAATGTCAGCACTCTGACCAGGAGCCACGATTTTAAAGGATGCTTTAGACTGTCAGTGTCAGTCCAGTAAGGTATTTCGTGATAATTTGATCATTTCGGGTTTAGTTTTATGTTTGCAAATGTTGTATCTTCCCTTTAAGTCAGTCAATGAGTACACCACCATCTTTTCCTCAAAAAAACATAGGTTGAAGTGGTCAGAAATTGCCTCAGATCGCACCACAGAGCATCTAGAATCCAAGGCTTTTTCAGGGCCCTTAAGCGGGCCCCGGAACCCCACGCCGTCACTTTTTGGGACACACATTTTGGGGACCAAAATTTTTTTTGGCCCCCCAAAAATTGTGTTCTGGATCCGCCCTTGAATTTGCCATAGTTTTCTGTCAGATCACAAGTTTTACAGAATTCTGCTACAAATCTGCCCCCACCCAAAAAAAATCATTTTGCTAAATTTTCTGTCAACCTCTTTTTTCCCCCCGAAAAATTATGTCAAATTTAGCCGATATTCGGCTAAAACGGTCACCCTGGTACTAGGTACATGCCGTACACGGTCGATCTAGACTTGGCTCAAGACTGTGGTGGATGATCGATAGTGGATCGTGCATAGTGCGCCCTCTAGCGGCACAATAATTAGACCTGCGCGCCATTAATGCGCGGGGTGCAGGTGCTGTCCGAGCGCTGTCTTCCATTATCAGATCAAATGCACCCCTGAACATTCTGACGTGTTCCATATACTCGCGAGCCCTATAATCGGAGTCTCTGTATGTCAGTCTAGCCAAATACTGTCCGTTCCTATGCGGCCAAAAAAAATACTGTAACGTAGAACGAATCTGGGGTTCTCACACGCCAGACGAAGGAAACCACAGACACCATTCTTCAGGGTTTCGGGGCTCTACGGCCATTTATTCTTGCCACTTTCTTTTCACGAGGCTCTCTCTTTATACAACTCACAACAAAAAGGAACGCTATACACTGTACATGTACAAAAGTCACACTACAGTACTGAGTCGGCGCAGTCTGGCAACAGGTCTCCCTGGCCCAGCAGCAGGGGTCCCAACGCTACGGTTGCACCGTGGGTCCGTGCTGGCGCCCTCTGCCGGCGGCCCGGCACCGCCGTTACACAGCCCCCTCCGAGGACCCTTGTTCGTCCCCGAACAAGGCGGCGCCTCCGCTGGGGTATCCGCTTGGGTCTCCACGGTTCCGCTCTATTAACTCCCGTGCGGAGCCACTCTGTCGGCTCCACTCCATTGACTCCCGTGCGGAGCAACTCCATCGGCTCCGCTCCATAGACTCCAATGCGGAGCAACTCCACGGGCTCCACCCCGTTGACTCGTGCGCAGAGCAACTCTGTCGGCTCTGCCTCATTAAATCGTGGGCGGAGCAACTCTACGGGCTCCCGTCCATTGAGTCGTGTAGTGCGAGCCTGCTCCGAGTGGAGGTCAGGACTCGCCATACTGCGATAGTGGGAACGAATGTACTGCTGGGGGAGATCCACTCCCGGTGGTGCCGACTGAGGCGCGCTCGGATGGTTTCCCGCCCCCGGTATATGGGCAAATCCAGCCTGGGGGCGCCCCGAATGGGAGGCCGCACCAGTCGTATCCATGTAAGCACCGAGTGGTGCTTCCATGTGGGGCCTAGCGCTATTTTCACGAGCGTAGGGGTTGTGGGTTGGCCCAGGACGAAAACCCGCCCCCGCTGCATCAACCAGCACAGCTCGGAATCGCTCCGAATGGAACGAGACGTCTGCTGCGCCAGCGTCTACAGCACGGGGCGGCCCCTCGCGGGACCTGGCATGTACTGTGTTATTACCAGCAAACTGGGGTATGTCCCGACGAAGCCCCGCCCCCGCTGCATCGGACAGCACAAATCGGGATCGCTCCGAGTGGAACGAACCGTCTGTTGCGCCATCGTCTACAGCACGGGGCGACCCCTCGTGGGACCTGGCACGTGTGTTGATGCAGGGTGTCTCCGGACGATCAAGCCCGGCCAGCCCCGCTTTATCAACAGGCACAACTCGGCAGTGTTCCGAGTGGAACAGAGCGTCTGTTGCGCCGTGGTGCACAGTGCGGCGCGATTCCCCATGGGTTTTAGCATGTGGGCCTAGCTGGCTCCCCGAAACCCTGAAAAAGTCCAACTCCGAGTCATCCAACGTGACGAACGCTTTGCTCGCCATCTCACCAGGTTGGTTTACGCTCTGCGAGGCCCTGATCCAGCGTGCGTACCCGCCGCGTGGCGAGTCGGACGCCAGACTAACTCGACCCGGTGTATTCATGGCGAAAAACACTCCAAATTCTACCTGTTTTTCCTCCGTCAGACATGCCACGGCTGCCACCAATGTAACGTAGAACGAATCTGGGGTTCTCACACGCCAGACGAAGGAAACCACAGACACTATTCTTTAGGGTTTCGGGGCTCTCCGGCCATTTATTCTTGCCACTTTCTTTTCACGAGGCTCTCTCTTTATACAACTCACAACGAAAAGGAACGCTATACAAAAGTCACACTACAGTACTGAGTCGGCGCAGTCTGGCAACGAGTCTCCCTGGCCCAGCAGCAGGGGTCCCAACGCTACGGTTGCACCGTGGGTCCGTGCTGGCGCCCTCTGCCGGCGGCCCGGCACCGCCGTTACAATACACTTGCCTAATGACCATCAATTTTTTTGTAACTGTACAGGCCTACGATCTTTCAAGGTCTGCTCATGCATATTGACCGTTCTTGCCAAATCATGTCAGTTCTTGCAAAATATTGTCTAAATGTTGCAGTTTTGTCACTGTCTAGGCCGTTCAGGACTTGGCCTGAACAAACACCACTCGGCCTGCATGGTAACCACAACTCTTTGCCCTCTGTAGGGACATCCTATCAGGACTCGGCCTGGTAACAACTATTGGCCCCTCTAGTCCCCTTCAGGACTCGGCCTGGTAAAAATAAAAGTAGGCCTTTAACCCTAAAAGGGCCGGGCGGAATCCTCCCCCCCCCCTCAACTTTTTCTGCGATAGCCTTGGAATTTTATTTTTTTGGCGACCCGAGCTGTTATGACTTTTTAGCCTCGAGTCTTGCGCATCTTTTGAAGCCAAAAACATAAAAATCGAACCACGGGTTGCCGCGCTGCGAAATTTTTTTCCATATAAGGCTTCGTATACACAGAGCAGAATTATCATTCGTACATATGCATAATTAATTATCCATAATTCCAAAACCCTTTGACCTATAGTCATGATATTTCTTGGGTATGTCCATGAAGAGTTGCTCTATGCATGTACCGAGTTTTAAAATTGTTGGTCACTCGATGGCCGAGATCGTGGGGGACCCCCCCCCCCCCCACGGCTGAGAGATGGTCAAAATAGCCCGGCCCTTTTACGGTTAAACTATAAGAACTCGGTGGCTAGCCCTGTGACAACAAAGCTCTTCAGGACTAGACTCGGCCTGGTATTAACAACTAGGCCCTTCAGGACTCGGCGTGGTAACAAATGATTTTTTCTTGCGTCTTTCCATGCATCTATTACTTCTTCGATTTTCGACAAAAATCAATTTGCCTTGCCTAGGCTATGTCCAGGTTACGTATATAGCCCTCCTCATGATCCCTCCAAGTTGCCCTGTCTTCTGCTTATCCTACCCATGAAAGCTGTTTATTAGGTCATCTTTCCATCTATTGTTTTTTTTTTTTTTTTTGCCTGCCTCAGCTTCTGTTTCCTGTCCTTGGTTGCCATTCTGTTAATAACCAATGCTCTTCCTCAATAGAGGAAGAGCATCAGGAGATTAATCTATTAAATTAACACTTTTCAGTTCTAGTATCGCTTTCCGCCCCGCCCACTTTGTTTAATTCTTCCTTCTTCTTCTCTTTGTTTTCCCCTTTGGCTTTTTTTCTACCTATCATACGCCCCGCCCCCTCTTGTTTTTTTTTATATAGAAAAGAAAACAAAATATAATAAATTAAAAGGATCTGATTTCCTGTGGTAGGATGGCTCTGTAGAGGTGCTAGTCACCTGTGCCATCTTGCCACTCACAGGCTTAATCCGTACGTATTCTGGCATAAACTCTTTTAAAAATAATTTATTGAAATTGTAAATTCTCTGTATTTTTTTATCTGTGATTCTGTATATCTTGTAATATTTTTTTTTATATCAGCCAGTGGAGAAGTGTAATAAAATAAATAAAATACAAATCTGTCCATCTGTTGTCATTTCTGCGAGCCAAGTGCCCAGTCCATCTCCACTTTGATCTTTATGTTGACATCCTTAAGTCCAGTTTGCTGTCGATTGACAGTAGGGCCTACATCTCACTTTGTCTAAGTGATAGCATTGGTCGTTAATTTCTTGCTCTTTGGACTGACTGAGGGTTGCTTTCCTGATACATTTGTATTGGTTGTTGACCACATTTCTGACCCAAATGTCGTTGTTGGTAGGACACACTGGCTATAAATTCTCCTCCTCAATAACATGGGTATGTTCTTGTTAAACAGGATTTCCTTATTTCTTCCAAAGCAGCTCCATCCCGATTGCATGCTTCTCATTCCTTCTCCTTTTCACAACTTTGTTTCAACTGTTTGGCCCAGTTACTTTTACTCCTCATGTCATAGTCCTCATCTATTACAAAAGTGGTCATGTATTTTGTTTACCTTTTGCATGTTTAGACCCACATTTTTGCTCTCTCTGTTCAAACCATTACGTTGAATTTTAATGTCCTTCACTGTTGAGGTAATTAGGGCCACGTCATCTGCATATCGGAGGCCCTCAAATCAATATAAGATACTAAACGGTTTTGCTGACGTCACACTATTTTTAAAAGGGTAGATTATTAATTATTTTAGTGTAGATTATTTTAAGAACCTACACTTTAATGTAGATTATTTTAAAAATCTACAGTTAATGACTTTTACACATTTCCCACCATGTTGTGCTACGTTAAAGGGACGTTTACAAAACGGTTTAATACTAGATCAGAACAAAAGTAGTCTATATCTTACTGAACAACAACGCGGTATTTTAAGCAATTAAATATACAACAGATCAAAAGCAAGGTAATCTATACATGCTTGTGTTTCAACATGTTGCTTATATACAAAACAATTGTATTTACCAATAAATGAAACACAAGAGTAATCAGTATATTCTGTGTTACAAAGCATTATGTTCACCATAAAATAATGGAAAAAATGAAGCACTTTTATGTCATCAACAGCATTTCAGGTACAACTAACAGCAGTGTACCGTGATGGCTTGTTGTTGCCCGTCTGTGGTCCTCTTGTGTGATCGGACAGATGATGCAGATGATCAGTGGCCCATGGTCTTGCATTATAATTATATAAGCTGCTCATCAAAGTTTTGCATAAATGTACAACCGAGATGCAGCCATAGCTCGAAGGGAGTGGTTGGATATCACAAATGCGTTTCACAGTGTTAGTAAGCTGGTGAATGCTCTGTGGTTGACAGCTGTACCAGACATCATCCTTTGGTCTGGCAAGGGGACGAAGGCAGGACGCAGGAGTACACTTTGGTGATGTGGGCTTATGGCGTATTTTTCGGAGAGTCGCACTATGCATCTTTCTGAATCAGAGGATTTCATGAGCATCTACAGTTTTTGGCGTGGGGTTTCAATGTTCTACTCCACCTTGTCAGCTTCTCGACACATCTTCGGTGTATCGGTTAGAAACCGTTTTTTATCGTTGGTTGCGTGAAGAGTGATTGCGAGTTTACGTGGCGCAGCAACTGCGCTGCTGTAGGTGTTCTGCCCCATAGCCCGCAGGGCAAAGAGGACCCTGAATTTCGGTAGAGCACAGTATCAACCAACTGTGTCAGATCTAGGAATCTTCTTATCCCATATGACGTTTTCTTCCTCTGTGCTGATTACATCTGCCGTTTCACTCTTTATCCTACAGCAGACAGCTCTTTCATCTTGGTATCAATCGTGTTTCTCAAGGAGACAAATTCTTCGTCTTGAAGCCTTTAAATAGCTGGTACTCCTGTCCATGCATTGTCATGTACAGCTGATGAATGCAACGCACCATCTCGTAGAGTGTTTCATATTCCTCTCCGTTGACCATAATATGCACCTCCAGTACGAAATGGGTGAGGGAGTAACACAGTTCATTACTTGTCGTCTTGAGTAGCGCACGCCGTATGACACTCAACTTCAAGTTACTAAGTACGACGTGTTGGTTCCTCTGCGATTTCCAGTCGTTGAAGGCTCTAACTGCCCAGACACTTCTCGGTTGCATTCGAGTATCTGAAATTTTCAGCAAAAAAATAAAGATGTTATATGTAATAGTTTCCCAAGTCTTGCCTTGGCTCAGTTAGCCAGACCAAACCCCCTAAAGCCGAAGCAAGCCGCCACTACGGAGTGTCATCACCGTTCATGACCCCCAAACCCGTCCGTTCAGAACCAATCTACCTAAAAGTCATTTTTCAGGCTATTTCACAGGTTCAAACTGATATTAAGTCACTGGATCGCAAATCGGACCAAATTTCCACACTTTTTGGCAAGATTTCTGTTTCTTTTTTTTTCCGAAGGGGAAACAATAGTAATATGGGCTCAATGAAGAAGGAAAGCGACGCTCACTGTTATAATCATTGATATGCTGATCAGCCCGTGGTGCCGATGCCCATTCAAATTTCCCGCCCCGTGCCCCGGTGAGTCGGAACCGTCCAAGTACGACCACGGGGAAAGCCAGTCAAGTGGTGACAACAACAAACCGCTGCATTAGCATGTGGTCTACTACGAGGCCTTGACACCCAGTGTCTAACCTGCAAGAAACATGCATGCATGTTCCACCACACTCCCCAACCAGCCCGACTCCTCAATAAACAAGACCTCTCTCCACGAGCAGCTGGTCCAGTATCGCAAAAGCACAGGGAACGGAACACTGCAAAGACCAAATCACCTATGTACTCCCAACCCAGCCACCACAGCAGATTGGTCGTCGGTGACTTCACCATGATCAAGCGACACACCCAGAAGAGTGAGAGAAAAAGAAAGTCATCTGCCATGCGCGGGGCGAAGATCGAGGACATCGCTCTAAACGCCAATCACCTGTCAACCAAGCACAATGTTTCTGGCATTCTTCATGTCTGAACCAACACCTCCGACAAGGCGGAAACCATTGCTGCAAGTGAAACACTGCCACCTAAATCTAGTGACGATTTCATCAAGCATCCATCGCCAAAAACGATGATTCAAATAATCTGCTGAAATCTACCCCCGCCCTCAACAACTGGGACTGTATATGGACAACTATAAAATTGATAAATCCTGATAAATCATGATTATCTCCACTCACATTCCCAACTACAAATTTGTCAGAAAATTATTTTCTCATTCTTGGGGACATTTCCAAACGTTCACCTAGTCTGAGTATCACCCATTATGAGCAAATTAGTCTCCAGTATAACGTCTGATATGTCTAGACATGCAGATATATATGCAAGCTGCGTGCCAGCCAATCGGAGTCGACTTTACTAAATCGTGACGTCATTTTATTCCCAAATCAGGACTAAATGGTTTGATTGGTAAATTCGAATGCAGTGTTTTGTAATACAACAACAGCCGGGCACGATATCGCGTAAAATGATACATTCAGAGCGCGTGACACATTTTTTTTTATCCATTGTCTATGACGAGCAACGGATGAATGACCGAAGACCCGATATACATGTAGGAAGCGCCCGCTGATTGGTCAAAATCTAGAGGTCAAGAGGTGGGGTCTTGCCTAATTAATCAGCGAATATCATATAGACAAACGTTCACCGGCACCATGTGCACTTAAAATAAAATCGGAACCGCGCCAAAATATAATTTACGCGAACTCGGAGATTAGTCCGAGTAACTAGGACTGTCTAAATCGCCTTTTTATTATTATTATTTTTTTAACTTTTGGACATGGTCTGGCGATAGACCGTGTCTAAATGTTAAAAAAGGCGATTTGTAGAGTCTTACTTACTCGGACTAGAGCTAGTTTGATGAAATTTGAGGTAACAAGTGCGATCGAGCGCACAATAAGCTCTGGCCGTGTTGCAAGAAGTCTTGCATGAAAGTCTTGCATGAAATCGATCAAAATGAGGCCTGCCAGAGCTTAAAAATGCGACGCCGATGGGCATCATGGCACATATGGAACACCATACTTTTGTCAATTTTCGGGGACAGACAGACATACCATCCGACCGACCGACCGACCGACCGACCACCATGTGCCGTACCAAGTGATTGTGTTATCAGTCACTATCCTGGCCTGCCCAGGCTTTAAAAAAAATTGCTCTAGCGCCCTCTGCCAGTGACAGTTCAAAACACGTGCCGGATGCGCGGCGGCGTACGCGTTACGTACCCCGGCCGGCCCCCGTACGAGACATGTTTTGTGTATGTCAAACCATAATACGTGTAGTTTGTATGGAATGGATTTGTATTTGTAATGACGTACGTGCGTCATGTACGTTGTGCATGTGTTGTGTGGATGATGATCGCAGAGAATAAATGGTCGGTCGAAGTGATCTACCAAGCTGCTTCATCTCAGAATCTCAGCTTTTTTAATCATAGCAAGCACTTGGCCTGGACATGTTGGACTTGGAGCATTGAGGAAGGAATGCTTGGAGGTACTGTAGGCAAGTTAAAGTGAGAATGGTTATCGTATAGTCCGAGTAGGACTCTATGAATCGCCTTTTTAAATAGGCTAGGCCTATTTGTCCAAATGTAAAAAGGCGATTCGTTCAGTCGTCATGGTCGTTTTCCTAGTTCCGGATTTTTCCTAGTTTCGGATAGCTTCAAATAGAAACCTACCTCTTTTGGATTAGTCTCCAATATATTTTTTTTCTGATGTGATGAAGTGCATTTTAAAAAGGAAAATGTAAGCTTCTTGATACACGAACTACGAAGATCTTTTTGGTAAAATCTTTAGAAAAAATAGAAGAGGAATTTCGGCCAGATTTCCGACTCGCACTTTAACTTGTTTGGTCGACGGTTTGTAGAAAATCGCGGGAGCTGCGAATCGACGAAAAATTTTCTCCTCGGTACATCACTCGTACCGTGTGATTTCGAATATTTTGTTTATACATTACAGCCGTATAAACTCTTCCATCGAATGTTTGTTGAATAAAAATAAGTTGTAGAGTCTCTAGTCCGAGTAACTTGGACCCAACTTATCGCCTTTTTAACATTCGGACATGGTCTGGTGATAGTAGGGTCCAAGCTAATCCTTATATGCCGAGCAACACAATTTTGTCCTTAATCCTTACTTTTAGGACACCTCTATTTTGTAGGAGTTCTGTTCAAAACTGACTTTTGCAGATGACTGTCCAATACCAAAGTGAATTTTGCAGGCTAAAGCAGTCTATTTTCTTCAGACAAACTCATGTTAGGCCTAGTTGTAATTTCGAAAGCACTTTCGAAGAAAATTTGAATTTCCTACCTTTTTTTGCAGTTCGCCATCTTGCTTTTTTAATATATTTTCTGTTTGTCATCGTCGTCTTTAACCCCTCTTAAATCAAAGCCCTGCCCTCTTTCTACAAAATTAAACCTGCTGATATTCAAGAAGGTGTCATTGCCAAATGTTCAAATGTGCCAAGAAATATCAGAATGTCACTTTTGATTGTCACTTAGTCAGCTGGTGAGTCTTTAAACCTTATATAGGAAAGGGGTCCTAAAGGTAAGGATTACCCCAAAACCCAACATTGCCCAACAAAAACATCAGATTTCACCTTCAAAATGGCCTTCAAATTACTAGATACGCCACCTGAGGTACAAATAGACATCGATGATTAAGATAGTTGTACTGAAGTTTGCTTACGATCTGGATGAAAAGTGAAATTTCCCGTTCAATTCCGAGAGCTCCCCTCGCTATCGTGAACACGTTAAATTTCCGACTCTGTTAATGTTTGAACGACGCGATGTGTGGTCTTCATTCTCAGCGTACATTCGATGGTCCCTGTATCCCGAGTGCAATTCCGTTTCCGTGGACCTCGTTTGTAAACACAAGTGCATTTCGAACAATATTAGGGAGTTGGGAACTAGCTTGAACTGGTTTCCGCCCATAAAAGCTGTCCTAGTTCCCGACTCCCTATTATTGTTAGAAATGTACCAGTGTTTACGAGATCCAGTCTACTCATTATCATAATCGATGCGTCGCGCTCGGTAATGGAATCGCACTCGGGATACGGGGACCATCGAATGTACGCTGGGCATGAAGACCACATCGCGTCGTTCAAACATTAACAGAGTCGGAAATTTAACGTGTTCACGATCGAGAGGGGAGCTTTCGGAATTGAACGGGAAATTTCACTTTTCATCCGGATCGTAAGTAAACTTCAGTACAACCATCTTAATCATCGATGTCTACCTGTACCTCAGGTGGCGTATCTAGTAATTTGTCGGCCATTTTGAGGGTGAAATCTGATGTTTTTGTTGGGCAATGTTGGGTTTTGGGGTCAAAGACAAAATTGTGTTGCTCGGCATGTAAGGATTAGCTTGGACCCTACTATCGCCAGACCATGTCCGAATGTTAAAAAGGTGATAAGTTGGGTCCAAGTTACTCGGACTATAGAGTCTCTAATTTTTGAAAATTCGCCAATGAATAACCGTATGCATTTGACTAGTTCCGGATAGCGCGTGTACTTATTCGTCCCTTACGACATTAATCGATTTTGTGTGACGTATTCTGTGTGCTGTGTCAAATGTTTTTGGTCCGTGCGTGAGTTCGTGCCATTGTGCTGCAGACAAACGTTTCAAAATCATTTAAGTTTTTCTCAAATTTGGTGGAATTCTCTTGAATGAACTTTTTTGGGAAAATGAAATAATACCTTATCAGAAGATATGCTTGATTCGGTAAGCTCTGGCTGAAAAAAATTTTTTTTCTCGCGTGATTCTTTTTTTGCGTGAAGCAGTTTTTGATCGATTCTGAACTGATTGAACCGATCTGGAACTAGGAAAAATGACATTGGTACTTTTGACGTCGTAAAGTCAAAACAAAAAGAGCCTAAATTTGGAAAATTATTATGTAGTATCTCCATCACTCAAGGTAAACTTTTTAACCAATGTCACTTGAATTTGGGAGTAGTTGAGCTGAAAGCTGTCTGAATGATGTTTGCTATCCGTAACTAGGAAAACGACTGTATAGCTCTACTGAGTGGAGTGCTGGAACTTCGGTACCCTCCATACAAGCACTCCACCGAATCGGCATACTTTGACTACACATTTAAATCACTGACACACGGTTTGCATTTTTGTGCATACCCTGGGAGAGAAAAGGCCCCAAAAAACTGGTAAAGAGAAAACAAATGAGAAAAACAGTTACCCTGGACAGATCCACACATTTATGACATGCCATACGTGCCATAAGTTTAATTGTTCCCAACAAGCGGTAGGGCCTAATTTTGAAAAAAGAGCAAAATATTCTGATAAACTTACCGCTCACAATTAAATGTGTCTACCGAGTTGTGCCATCCATTTCTTGGCTAGATCGTCGAGTGCATGTGTGACGTCACTGTTGAAGAAAAACAAGTTGCGCTGAATCCACGACTGTTGCGTGTAATGATATGTGCCCCGCGCCGTATATGACAGTATCGGCTTTTGGCGCGGAGCACAAATCATTACACGCAACAGTCGTTGATTCAGCACAACTTGTTTTTCTTCAATAGTGATGTCACACACGCGCTCGACGATCTAGCCATGAAATGGATGACACAACTCGGTAGACACATTTAATTGTGAGCGGTAAGTTTATCAGAAATCCAGAATATTTTGCTCTTTTTTCAAAATTACCGGGTCTTGTTACTCCTAGAACTATGATGCTCCGCATGAGCGGAGCTCATAGACACAGAACCCCGCAAAATTGTTTGCAGCACAAAACACTAACTACACTGTACATGTAAGTTCAAAAATGTCCATCAAAATACAGACATTTCCCACAGAACTGCTGCACAGTTTGCCCCTAAACTCCGTACAATACCTCATGACATACTCACTTAAGTTGCGCATAACAAACATCGCTGGATTTTGTCGGTTTTTAGGCCAAAATGATGAAAAATATGCCCTTTCCGCACTGAGCCAACCCAGACAGGGCTCTGGAGTGCTCTGAAATGTGCAAAACTAACAGGCCCACTTTACTCACAGTTTAGCCAGCAGGGGTGTGAAATCTCAGCTTTTTAGCTGATTTCAGCTTTTTTTGTTTTGGATTTCAGCTTTTCCCCCTCACTTGCTGTGTACAAAAGTATAGGAGATTTCCAAAGTTCAGCTTTTTTACACCTTTTTCAGCTGTTTTCAGCTATTTTTATCAGTGGTCACTCACACCCCTGGCCAGCAAATTTCTTCAAAAATTCTACTGGGGCAAAGAAAAGGTCCTCAGTATTTCACCAACCAACTTTCCAGACTCAATTCCATTTTTAAAGGAGACTTTTGTTCAATATTTTGCACATGAGAGGGAAATCAACTGATTTCAAAATGGGGCTAAATACTAGACTCGCGCTTCAGTGCCATGCCGCACCGCGCCGTGCAGTTGGCAAGTGTGACTCTGGTGTGACTGGTGCGTTCGCTGTGTGTGCATGGTAATTGACACCGCATACGCGCGGAGCTCATCATGGGGACAAAATGGCACATTTTGGAATTCATTTTTGTACCTGGTAGTCCAAGTTAACAATATCCTCCAGCCCTGTATGACAACCCAATGATAAAATCTAGGGCTGAGGTAACTCCAGCTAGGTCAATGTGAGCGTTGTGTCGCTCGGCATATATACGGATCGACTTGGACCCTATTATCGCCAGACCATGTCCGAATGTTAAAAAGGCGATAAGTTGGGTCAAAGCTACTCGGACTAACGTTACTCGTTAGTTCCGGATCGCTTCAAATAAAAGCCTAGCCTACCTCTTTTGGATTTATAGTCTCCAATAATTTTTTTTTCTGACGAAGTGCACTTTGAAAAGGAAAATGTAAGCTTCTTGATACACAAAAGACAAAGATCTTTTGGATAAAAATCTTTAGAAAAGGACTTTTGGCGAGATTTCTGACTCACACTAGGCCTAGGCGTATGACATGTTTGGAACGTTTATTGAAAATCACAGGAGCTGGGAATCAATAAATTTTCTCCTCAGAACATCCTTTGTACCGTGTGATTTTGAATATTTTGTTCATACAGTAGTACAGTCGTATAAACTCTTCCATCGAATGTTTGTTGAATCAAGATAAGTTGTAGAGTCTCTAATAGCAATATTTGAAAATATACCAATAAATGACCGTGTGATTTTGCCTAGTTCCGGATCGCGCGTGCACTTACGACCAACTGCACGCGGTAATCGATTTTGTGTGATGTATTCTGTGCTGGGTCAAAGGTTTTTGGTCCTTGGTGAGTTTGTGCCGTTGCGTTACATTTTTCTATTTTTAAAATGTGCCATTATATTAAAGGTAAAATAAAAAACAAAAACATGTTTAGCGTCCTGCCTTTTTGAAAAAAAAGGAAGGAGGAGGCCCTTCCCCCCCCTCGAAAATGGCCGCCTGACCGGCTATTTTTCAAGATGGTTGTTATGGTTAGATATGCGATAACCCGCCGCAGCGATAACCCGCCGCTGCAAGAGGGTGTTATCATGACCAACCAATATCACCCACGAACCCGTCGGAATAACATCTA